AGAGAGAGAGAGAGAGAGAGAGAGAGAGAGAGAGAGAGAGAGAGAGAGAGATTTGACATCATGTTTGAAGTAATTTTGGTGCTTACTCAGAAAAAAAGTGCTTGTATGTATAAGTTATCAGAAGCATTCTGGGTTTTTATTGCTAGTGCTGAGCAAGATGACAGAGATTTAGAACTTAAAAAGTTTCTCTGATACCTACAAAAAAAAAAGCATTGACTATTAAATCCTACCTAAGAGAAACGTTGTCAGCAGCTGGAGACCACAGAAGGAGAAATTTCAGCAGCCTTGACTCTCACTTCTGCTTCTCGTGATAGTTTATGTCATGACTTGTATCACTGTGGGAGGAATACTCAAACCTTGTTGACAATAATAAGTTGCAACATCTTCAGACTGCAGGTTGCTGATCTTAAGAGAATACTGTGTGCCAGATCCACTGCCACTGAACCTTGATGGGACCCCATCTGCCAAGCTGTTTGCACCATAGATCAGGAGCTTAAGAGGATTCCCTGGTTTCTGCTGATACCATGCCAAAGCACTATAAATATCCTGACTTGCCCTGCATGTGATGGTGACACTGCCTCCCAGGGATGCAGACAGGGAGGCTGGAGACTGGGTCATCTGGATGTCACATCTTGCACCTGAGATTGGGAAATTAAAAACAGGTTTCCACATAATTAATTCTATTATAAGAGAACTTTCCCTGAGACCAGAAAGCATTGACCAGAGGCAACTTATTAAATTTCCAATGCTGTATTCCTTACCTGTAAGCCAGAGCAGCAGCAACCCCAGGAGTTGAGTTGGGACCCTCATGTCGGTTCTGTGACCTGTGTGAGACTGACTCCAGCACAAGGTGTGACCTGATTATGAAGGAATCCTCATGGCAATGGGCTGTGTTATGAACACATGCAAATCAGCAAGTCTGTGCACAGTCACAGGATTGGTCAGGTCAGTGATTCATTAAAAACCTGTGAAACTTTTGTGTTGCAGATCACAGAGGATATACAGGTTTATTTATAGGGAATATAGTCCTGTTTGGAGACCAAAGAACAACACCAGTCTATGAGTTGCACCTCTTTTGATTTCTCTCATTTTCAATATGTTTTCCTATTCAGTTCTTCTCCACATCATGGGCTGTGACATATGGTACCATATTAAACAGTATATAAATGGTTACAGGATCCTTTCATTGGTATCTGTAGATGTTGCTAATGTGGTGAGATTCATCTATTTTACTGTTGTTATGTAAGATTGAATTTTAATTGTACCAATTCTTTTCTAACTTTCCTCCAACTAATCCTTCCCAAATACTAAATACTGTTTCCTAATCTTCTTGCAATTCTTGGCCTCTTTAAAATATTAATTCATTTCACAAATGTATGTATATATAAATATACACATACATAAATTTATTAAATTTATACATGCATATGCAAAAAGGAATACACAACACTGTTGGGTCTGTATATTAGTTGTACGTATGTTTTCAAGTAAATCATTGGGTCATGGACCATTGATTGCTGTGCTTTTTCCCAGGAAGGAAGACTTTTCCCAGCTTTATTTGATTTTCTATAGTTCTTTATATAGAGTTGAAGCCTAGTGACTTTTTCCCATCACTTTGGCAGGTTCACTGGGTGCCTTACTTATTCAGATCATATTTGGGCTTTCATGTTGTTTAGATTTTATAGGAATAGATTTTGATATTACTAGGAAACATAACCTCAGAACAAAATCACTGATGCTCTGACTTTTCTAATCATTCTACCTTCTTTCCCAAAATGTTCCCTGAGCCTTGATTATGGGAGTATTTTGTAAATACATTCATTGGGCCTTATCTCAACAATTCACCAAGCAACTTCTCACTAATAATGATTCTCGGAGAAGAAATAGAATAATATCAGAAGATGGTTTGTAAAGGACAGTGTCTCACATAACTCATTTTCTTTCAGAGAAACAGTTTTATTTCACTTATTTATGACAGCTCAACTACTATCAAGTGCTGGGAAACTCCTTTATCCAATGGCTTTTGAGATGTTCGACCACGTTGTGCATGGTCTTGGGTACTAAAAACATGCATTCTCTCTCTCTCTCTCTCTCTCTCTCTCTCTCTCTCTCTCTCTCTCTCTCTCTGCTGCTGTATTTGGTTCCCGTTCTCCACTCATACAAAGGACTGTAGATATGTGAGTCTACCCCTAAATGAAGAAGCCTTTATTATACCCCATTCTGAGCTAGTTTAGGATCATATTATCATGTTCATTTACAATTAAATAGGTGTTAAGGAACTGATAGACCTGGAAATTAATGGCAATGATGACTGTAACATGTATTTGTAGTGTTTGCTATGAGGGAGATATAAAAAAGATCCTTTGAGATCATAATGGAAATATTACAATTGTTTGGGAGGGCCTTCTCTCTCTGTGTTGCTTTTCTTGGTTAATGAATGAAGAAAATGCCTTGGCTTGTTGATAGGCCTGAAGAGATGGCTCAGAGGTTAAGAGTACTGACTTTGTCTTCTTCCCCCTAGAATTCAGTTGCATCTTCCTCACCTACCAAAGTTCTGCTCTATCAACACCTCATTGCCAGCGGCCTAGGAAGCAGCATGCACCTCGATGCCACCGCCGACAACAGCAGCCTCCATCCAGATCCCACGCCCGCAGACCCAGGCTGTGCTGCCCCGGGCTCTGCAAATGGGAGGCAGGCGGTGGACTGCCTGCATGGGGCTGGCAGGGACATGATGCCGCTCTGGCAGCGTTGGCGCTGTGCTGCCTGGTCCCCGGTTGAGGACCCACGGCAGGCGTGGGGTCCGGTGCCTTGTTTCTGCTCCTCAGTCTGTACCGAGTAACGCCCAATCCACCTGGCTGATGGGGACACTGATTGCTCTCCTGTGCTGGAGCCGGCGCTCCAGGCCACTGGACTTCGCCTCTTCCTGGAGCTGCCTGGCCAGGGCTCTCTGATGTCCGCTGCGGAGCCCTGTTTGTGGATATCCCCAAAAGACAGCTCAGGGCAGAAGAGTGGTCATTTCTCACAGTATTGACCGAGCTTTGAAAGATGTGTTCCACTACAGTTATAAAGACTATATTCTCTCCTGGTATGGGAGCCTCAGCAGAGATGAAGGACAGCTGTACCATCTGCTCTTAGAAGACTTTTGGGAAATTGCCAAGCATATTCGCCACAGGCTGAGTCACGTGGATGTGCTTAAAGTTGTCTGTAATGATGTTGTAAAGGCTTTGCTCACTTGCTTCTGTGACCTGAATGCTGTTAATGCCAGACATGAAGACCAGCTAAGGCCTTTCGTGTTGCACGCATGCCTGAAGGACTCATGTGATAAGGTAAGTTCCTTCAAATGTGTATTAGGGTTCTGGTGTTTTGCCTTCTCCCTGTGAAGGATATCCAGTCTCTCAGTTTACATATAATGCTCACAGAAATTCTCACAACAAAAGTCTTGATGCTTGATGCTGGCAATGGAATTACTGAGTAATCCTGATTACATTAACGAAATGCTCCTTGCCCAGTTGGAGTACAGAAAGCAGAACACCACAATAGAGCCAAACATATGTTAATTTTTACGAGGAGTTCATCAAGCTCATGAACGGTAACTCTGATGTGTAGTTCTTGAAGCAGCTCAGGTATCAAATTGTAGTGGAAATAATCCAGGCAACTACAATTAGCAGCTTCTCTCAGCTGAAAAGGCACAAAGGTAAGGAGTCAGCTGCCATGAAAACTGATCTCTTGAGAGTCAGAGAAATGCCATGCATGGATCCACCACCAGAGTAATGATGAATCTTGCTGGTAGGCCATGACCTCGTGGTTACACACAGATTAATAAGGGTTAAATTAAGATGTAAGAGTTAGCCAATAAGAAATTAAGAGCTAATGGGCCAATCAGTGATTTAAATAATATGGTTTCTGTGTGATTATTTTTGTTCTGGGTGGCCGGGACGAACAAGCAGCTCCTCATTCTACATTACATGTCAATTGTATTATGTCAAGCGTTTTCTGTCAGACATACTGACATGATTTTTACTGCACCCTTTATGTTCTCTGAAGAGTGAATCTAATTAATATTAACAGTAGAAATCAGGAGTCCAATATTGGAAGAAAAACCTAGCATCAGAGAAAGGGAGCTTCCACCAGGTGCTTTCTGCCTCTTCAGTCCCTTGGCCCAAAAGACCAGAGAACCTGTATCAGCACTGCCTCACTGCTTCCTGTCCTCTCTGTACATACCTACAAACCTCTTTGTTTAACTAGTGGCTAGTTCTTCTCTTTGCTTCCAAGCAAGCTTTATTTGTCTGAATATCACAAACATTTTTCCTTTTCTCTAAATACAAGGAAGCTTTTAGACTAACATAAAATAAATATATACAATAAGTTCAAGGACTACATACAAATATATACAAGCAAGAATTACATTAACAGTGTCTAAGAAAATACTCAATTATCAATCCTATTTTCATGAGCCCAAATCATTGAAGATAATTCACTTTCTATTATGTCTCTCAACAATATACACTTTATATCTTTTGTGAGTTTCTACTCTGAATTTGTTAAGAAGGAACAGTATAACTATTTGTCTTCAACACCAGCAGAGACCTCAGAAGGATGTAATATTACCTGAGTAAACATGAAGTACAGAGCAAAAAAACTTCCAAAATTAGAAAATGATAGAAACAGCTCATTACATGGACAATCACCTAAGGTTTCTGTAACATTGTGTCATCTACCTTCAGCCTAGAATATATAAAAGACTTATTTGTGAAACAGGATTTTTGAAGCACTGTTCTGCCTTGTCTTTGCAAATATTGGCAGTCTCTTTCTTTTGTGTCCTGCTTATCCAATTTGGACAGCATACTGTCAGCAGTTGAGGCAAGTGCAGTTTCTTGCCCAGAGACTAACTTTTGCCACAAAGGAATTACTCCATGTGGAGTTTTTTCTATGCTCAGCATCTTTTTTTTTTTTTTTTTTTGGTTTTTCAAGACAGGGTTTCTCTGTGGATTTGGAGCCTGTCCTGGCACTAGCTCTGTAGACCAGGCTGGTCTCGAACTCACAGAGGTCCGCCTGCCTCTGCCTCCCGAGTGCTGGGATTAAAGGCATGCGCCACCATCGCCCGGCTATGCTCAGCATCTTTTCTGAAGAAGATTGGTGCTGCCAGGAATAGACATTATTAAAACATTTTAAATACAATATTCTGTAGATCTCTGAAATGTATGATGACCGCCTGTCTATCTAAAATATATCTAAAATATACCTAACATGACTGCAAGATTGACCATAATGGGTGTCTAACAACTAATCCACGTTTCTTTATTATCCTAGATAGTATATAATAATAGCTTTCAAGGACTGGAAATTTATTTTACATTGTTAAATAAAGTGTATATGTGCAAAATTTTAACCAACAGTACAAATATAGGTACAGTAGGTACTATCAAAAATAACCTCTAATTTTTATCAATATACAAAAATTCATACCAATATAAAATATTTAAAACCAGTTGTTGGTTTATTACAAGTAGATTCAATAATCTACCCTTTTATTCCTGTAGTCTATATCCCCTATTTTACTGTTAAGAACAAGATCCCTGAATCTAATCTCCTTTGTTCAGTTTTTTTCCTGATCATTACCAATAACAACTTGCAACAAATACCGCCAAACAATGACAAATATCCATAACTTGCTGAAGGACCAAAAAATTGCTCACCCAAACTCTTTGGAATGTGGGCATCATGTTCTTAAAATTACTTTCTTTTTCTGAGGGCAATGTAATTTTTAGGGGAACCTGAAAAAAATAAAGTAATTGCCAAATATTGAGAGAGCTAGCTGTATCATTTTTCTGTCAAGTCTCTGTGTGATGGGAAAGGTCTCAATTTGTCTCAAGTCTTGGGTAGAGTAGTCCGTAAAGCTTGAACATCTCAGTTAGC